GGGGCGTGTCCTCTCCTGCCTGCCCTGGGACCTGGGACCCTGCCTGTGGGCAGTGGGAGGCCCGCAGCCCGTGCCCGCTGTGACGGCCGCGTGGCCCCCAGTACAAGCACCTGTACAGCCGGCACGAGCTGACGCCCAGCGAGGACGAGAAGCAGGACAAGGAGATCTTCCACAGGACCATGCGCAAGCGGCTGGAGTCCTTCAAGTCGGCCAAGCTGGGCATCAACCAGAACAAGAAGGCTGCCAAGCTGTACAAGCGCGAGCGTGCCCAGAAGCGGGTGAGGGCACATGATGCGGGTGTCCCTCCCACCTCGCCCCAAGAAGGGCCGGCTGGGGGCTGGAGCCAGGAGGGGGGCGGAGGACTCGGGCCCGGGGCGCTGGGGCGTTGCAGGGTCTTGGGCCTGCAGGGGGGTCCTAGGTGGGGGCTCGGGGCCTGGGATGGGAAGGGTGGTGCCAGGGCCTCGGAGTCTGGAGCAGGGAGGCGGGAGGTGGCTCAGGGCCTGAGATGGGCAGCGGTGTCGCAGGGGACTGGAGCTTGGTGCAGGCGACACAGGGGTGGGGCTCGGGACCTTGGCAAGCAGGGTGTGGGGTGCTTGAGCCAGGGAGGTAGGGTGTGGGGTTGGCCCGGGTCTGAAGTGGGGGAGGCGGGGTGGGCTCCTGGGCAGGGCCAGGGGCTCCTCCGGGCGCCCCACTAGCCTGTGGCCCTGTCCACACTGCCAGCGGTCGCATTTTCTCGCAGAGAAACAGCAGCATCCCCAACGGGAAGCTGCCCATGGAGAGCCACGTGCGGAGCTTCACCATCGAGGAGAAAGGTGCGGCCGGGTCTTGGGAGGCACTTGTGGGAGTCCCAGGTGGCCGGTCCCCGACACCTGCCCTGGCACAGGACCCCCAGCTGCGCCCTTTGCGGGGAGGTGGCCTCAGGGCCTCGCAGTGCCCTCACGGTGGCTCTGCATCATCTCAGCCCACCCAGGACAGAAGCGCCCCTCTGACTGGGTCCTGGTGACGGCCCCACGGGGTGGGTCAGGGGCTGGATGGAGCACCCCACCTGACTCCCTTGTGTCACCACCCCCAGATTTGGAACTCTCAGACCCCGAGGAGGCCCCCAACTTCTATGCTGAGGAGACAAGTGGGGGCATTGAGTTCCTGGCCAACGTCACCAAGGACACCGCGTCAGACTCCCCAGCAGGTGGGGCGGGAACGGCGACGTCATGGTGGGGAGGGCTGCCACCCTGGACCAGGACATGGGGCCTGGGGTTCGCATGGGTCTTCAATGGCCTGCAAGGGCCATGCGGCCCTCCACGGACTCGGAAGACCCTGCCCTGGGGATGCGGTCCGGGTAGGCCTCTGGCCCAGGAAGGCAGGTCTCGCCACGCTGCCTGCAGTGCGAGGCCACAGATGTGGCGGAAGGGTGCGCAGCCAACCCGAAAGCCGCGTGACCCTAACCTCAGTGACCTGGCAGGTAGCGACCGCCTGATGTGCTGTGCTGGCCCGTTGTGGCTGTCCCTCCACCGTGCGCTGCTCCCGGGGTTGACGGCACCGCCCTTTCTCCTAGGCATTGACAACCCTGTGTTCTCCCCGGACGAGGACCTGGACCCCAGCCTCCTGGCCAGGGTGCTGCCCTGGCAGTCTCCCGGGGAGGCGGTAGTGCCCTCCCAGAGGGCCCGCGTACAGATCCCCCACTCTCCCGCCAACCTCCGCCGCCTGACGCCCTTCCGCCTCAGCAACAAATCGGTGGATTCCTTCCTGCTGGCAGACAGCCCTGAGGAGCGGCCCCAGGCACCCCCTGAGTCCACACACATGTAGGCCCGGCCCTCCCGCTAACGCCCTCTCTCCTCAGCTGTCTCTGCAGGGCTCGGGCTTGCGCTCTGCCACCTCTCATCCCTCTGGGACCTGACTCTTGCAGACCCTCTCTCCAGCAGCTGTCCCTCCTCCTTCTCAAGCCTGTCTCTCTCCTGGGGCATGCTTCTTAGGAGACGCTGGTGGACTCCTGTGTGTCTGCTTCTGCACTGGGACTGGGAACCCAGAGCTGTCTGAGGATGCGACTTGTTTCAATGTGTTCTTGCAAGGGTTGACCTTTAGATGGCTCCTTCCGTCACCATGTGGTCAGCGCCGAGTCTATGAGCTCCACAGGAATGAAACAGGGTTGGGCGAGCAGGAAGGGGGACGGCAGGGCTGGGAAAGTGACAGAGGAAGCCCAGGAGAGAAGCCACGGGTCCCTCTGGCCCTTGTACAGAGAGGTGTGTAGGCACGGGCAGGGAGGCCCCACAGCAGCAGGGAGACTGCACACAGACACAGGTCTGCCCAGCAGCCGCTGACGAGCAGGCTGGCTGGTGACCTCGTCCTGCAGGCCCTGTGTCGAGGGCGCCCTCCAACTCAGAATGCAGGGGGGAGGCGAGAGGGTGAGGGGAGAGAAGAGGGAGGCAGCTGGCCATGTTAGGGTTAGAGGCTTTTGCAGGTCTGGCCTTGTCCTCCGCAGAGAAGAGGGCTCATCTACCTCAGACAGGGTTTTGGGTCATTTCAGGCTTCCTTTGGGTACTGGTGGGCACATGGGAAGGAAGTGGGTGGGCCTGGCCCCGTCGGATGGCACAGCCTCTTGAAATGGCCGGGAACGGGTGTCTCTGGTGGACACCAGTGAGGGGTGTGTCTGCCCAGGCCGTTGGCAGGGCCTGGTGCAGGACTGGAAAGACGGAGGTGCCAAGGCTGTCCTGGCGCAGCCGGCCCCACCTGCTGTTCGGGGCGTGGGGCGCCACCGGCCGGCCGCCCCCACAGGGCTCTTTCACTGCTCCTAATGCCCTGCCTCGCGGCAGCCTCGAACCCCATGCTTCCCCCTCCTTCCCGGCTCATCCTTGAACCTGCGGGCCTGGAGCCATCCGCTCGGGGCCTGGGTTGGGTGTGAGGGCGCCCCGGGGAGGGTCCGCAGTCAGGTCCTTGGCTGACCGTCCTGGGCACGGTGGCAGCCCCCGGCCCGGGTCCCAGAGCACGCGAGTGGTCCCGGCAGGCCCGGCTGGGGCAGGGGTCAGCGTCGGGAGAGCCTCCGCGTGACACGCGCCCGTGGGGCTCCAGCCCCGGCCGCCAGCCGGCCAGGGTCCACGGGCTCTGGAGAAGGCCCGGGACCGGGCCGGGTCAGAGCGG